GGAAAGATAGATTCAGAACAACAAAAACAAAGGCGGAGGCATAAAAAACAGAAAACTCACTTGTTTGAAGAGTCAACGGGCCTCGTCGAAAATGAAGGAAGCATCTGGGTCGGGGCCATATTCAAGCCCTGCAAGGCATTCTCGAAAGATCACATGACCTTCTTGGCTCGCTTCCACTTCAGAAGACCTCATATTCAAAGCATCTCGAATTTGCCCTTCGGAGAACTCGGGGCCAGGCGGTGAGTCATCCACATTTATTACCCCATGTGATCCACTTCGGGCATTCTCTTTTGTTTGAAGAGGCTCAGGACCAGGCCGTTTGGCCTTGCCCTCCAAATGGCCTCCTAGACGAGGTGCCTTTTTTCTGCACGATGGCTCGGGGACTTTGTTTGAACTCCCCTCGGAGATTTCCTCGGCTCTGGAATGAGCCACATCAACCGTCACCTGCTCGACGGACTTCGAAACATCGACGTTTCCTCTTTAACGAGCTACCAGCAGGCGGTCGTCATCTTCTTCTTCCTCCAGATCCCGAAGGCGTTGGGCCGCTTCCGGAGATAAGGCCGTCGTATCGGCCTTGGACCCTCGAGCCACGCTTTTCTTAGGCTTCGGGGGATTTGTAGGTGACTCTCTTTTTCTTTTTCTTTCTCTAGAAGACTTTGGAATCTCTTCTTCATCGATCGGGGCCGGCCGCATAGCAACGGCGTCTCCAAGACCTGTACATGACCAAAATAAGTATCCCACGGGGAGAAGTACAAGAAAACAAACAGGAGAACTCACCATGGTTTTTGGCCTCCCATCGACCCTTGACAAAATCTCGCCAGCAATGCTCCAAATAAGAGGAAGTGGAAGCCAGCTTTCAGACCTAGCCTTCGGGGTCCGGGACCCCACCAGGAGACCAGGTAGTAGCTGCGCCATCGGAAAGGGGTTAGACCAAGGAAAATGTTAAAGGTGAGAAGACAAAGCAAGGTATAAACCTGCTAGATACTTACGTTTCATGTTCCACTCCTTGGGGAACGGCATCCAATCAGTAGGAATCAGGTCGGAGGTCTTGACACGAACAAACCGGCTCATCCACCCTCGGTCTTTGTCCTCGTTAATAATACAGAAGAGAGATTTCAAGGATCGGCGTTGCAATTTTATCAATCCACCTCGATAAAGTCGAGGACTGAACAACCTGATCAGATGATCGAGGGTGAAAGACATCCCCTCGACTTGGCTCGAAAAGAATTTGATCAAGTAAACGATTCACCAAAATGAAGGGTAGATCTGGCCAAGCGTCACTCGGTATCGTCGGCAAAAATCAAGAATAACCGGATCTATGGGACCCTGAGCCGGAATTGCAGGACCCAGCGTAAATGGGTAGGTGTATACGCTCAAGTACCCCGCCTTATATGTAGTGATGTCCTTCTCGGAGGAAGGAATCACTACTTCTTTGTTCTCCCACTTGCAGTCCTCCTTTGCTTGCGCAAGCTCATCTATACGGTCAAAATCATATGCCCCTTGTGCAGGAGCTCGAGGTTCCTCCCTAGGTCCAAGTCCGGGAGGGGTCAAGTTCGAAGCCGGTGGACCAGGCTCGAGCTTGAGGAAAGAGCGTAATGCCCGGAAATAGAAGTTCGAGGAATAACGAGGCCAAGTGTGCTCGACCTTGAAATAATACTGTTATGGATTTGTACCGGAGCAAGCTAGATTCCTATCACGTCCCTGAGATCATGGCGCGAATTCCAGAATAGGATCGTACAGCTCCGTACTAGGCGGTTAAGACAGTTGTGATAAGAATATTCCCTACTGTAAATAGAAATATTTCTTATTTGGGATTTTACTATTATAAAAAAGGGAACTCCAATCATTTGTAAGACCACCTTTTCAGTGAGCAAAGAATATACTCACTACTTTTTGCCTGCTGTTCATCAGAATTGTCTCTTAGCTTAATTGTTCTTACTTTGATTCTCCTACTTAATTGTTCTTACTGTCCTAAGCCACCTCGAGGTCACCGACTCGAGATCACTGCTACTAAGTAATATTGGTTTGATTCATTTCTATCTTTCATTTGTACTGCATATTTCTTGATTCTTAATTGGTATTGAACTAAATCACATATCTTTAAAACCACAAATCAAATTTAATTGTTACTCGTATTTTTCGAGGTAAACAATCTTGAAAGTTGGAACTTATGGAGCATAAGAAGGTGGGGGGGACAGGGAACACGATGGAATGAGGAGCAGAGGAATCTGTTGCAGTGGGGTGGGGGTGGGGTGGGCGTCGACTGAAAACACAATGGAAACTGGAACTTAAAGGCGGGCTTTATAGCCATTTTTTAAATGATTATTTGGGTACCAAATGGCACATGTTATTTTATTAGTCGCTTTGTCATATCATCTGCGTTTGAGTTACACTCACTTTATTTTCAGACTGAATTTTAGAGAATGGCTTAATAGGTACACTTTTCACACTGTTTAAGCGTTCAATAGGAAATTTTCTTAGTTGAGATATCTAAATGAAAAATTGTGACAGCTTTGAGGGATTATCTGTGTATTTGGCATATTATAAAAATTGTGAATCTTTCCTACACCTTGATTGCAGCCTCTCGTGTTTTTACATTTTCTTTTAAATAAAAGTTGGCACACTTGTAGTTTGTTTGCTCAAGTTTCTTTATTGATCCATAAGTTTTTTTTAATTAAAAGTGTTTTTTTTTTCAAAGTTATGGTGCTTGGTCAAGCTTTTAGAAGAAAAAAGTCCTTTTTGAGTTGAAGCTAAAAAAGTAGTTTCTCCCCAAAAGTACTAATTTGAAAAGCACTTTGAAGAAAAATAGTTAGAAGTACGTTTTAAAAGCTTGTTCAAACATTAATTATTACTCAAAAGTATTTTTCAAATTAAGTAATCAAACACAAATTACTTCTCACCAAAAAGTACTTTTTTAAAAAGCAATTTTTTAAAAAATGATTAAGCTAATTTTTGAAGCTTGGCCAAATAAACTATTACACTCCCCCAACCCAATAAGTCGAACCTACACAGCTATCTGATTTAATTGCAAGCAAAAAAGAAAAAAAAAACCTCATTTTGATAACACCACAATCTTCTTCTTCTTTTTCTGTTTGCATGTTTGCTTTCCTTGTCAGTGTTTATGCAATGTCTCATATCTTTAGGACATGAATTAGCAACCTTTGGTTTTTAACAGAGACGTGTCAAGAACACAGGAATCTATTTACTTAGGCAGCAAAATATTTAGTACAAGAAGTTGACACTGCTTCGAGTCAACTTTCTGTCCCTACTTACCTATACTTCCATGCAAATGCGAATATATAAGCCACGAGGTAGAAGTTGAAGATTGGTGTCTGGTTATTATATCACATGTGTGGAGTTTTTCCTTTTGAGCACTGCCACTGACGAGTCAGGTATAAGATTGAACCCTGCCACCACCAGAGACAGAATTTAGGGATTTAAATTTTATGAGTTTGCATATGAAATTCCATCACATTAGTTTTTAACTATAAGCTAAAATTATTGGGTGCAAATGAACGCATAACTCTTTCGGTGTTTAGCTTTCTAGATGTTCATTTTGTATAAAATATAATTAAGGCGTATCTTTTTTGATAACTTAAATTTTTAAATGAAATCAGTACACACTTAGATATGATATTAGAGCAGATAGGCTCATAATTTAAAATTTTATGAAGTAATCTGGAGGAAACTATTTTTCTCAGAAGTTCATTAAATATCTGTCACGATCCAGAATTTCTACCGTCGGGAGCGTGATGGCGCCTAACATTTCACTTGCTAGGCAAGCCAACGTTAGAACAGTTTATCCATTTTTAGCAGTTTGAATTAAATACTGAGAAAGAACAGAAATAATCTAAAGTATAAATGCGAAAGCTATAACTGCCAAACATCTGCTACAAATTCCTGAACCCGGTATCACAAGTGCACGAACTACTAGAATAATACATACAAGGGTCTGAAATAAATACAAAGCCATCTAAAAGAAAATACACATATGAATAAAAGGAAGAGAACGAGACTCCAGGAGGTGCGGGCGCTGAGCAGCTGTACCTCAAGTCTCCGTACGCTGTCCAATCCGAGCTCACTGATAACCGCTGCTAGGACCGACTCCAAAATTTGCACAAGAAGTGCAGAGTGTAGTATAAGTACAACCGACCCCATGTACTTTGTAAGTGCCGAGCCTAACCTCAACGAAGTACTGACGAGCCTAACCTCGCATATACGCCGCTCAAGATTCACATAGCACATAGTCTGAGGGTTCCTAATTACCTCAAGTCAAGGTTAGACACAATACTTACCTCACTCCGCAGTCAATTCAAAGCTCTACCGGGGTCTTTTCCCTAGAAACCGTCTCCAAACCACTCGTATCTAGCCACAATTAACTCAATAATATCAAATATTGCTAAAGTAATCAATTATAATGCATAAATTTAGAATTCCCAAACTTTCCTCCAAAAAGTCAAAATCGACCCCGGGCCTACTTGGTTAAAACCCGAGGTTCGGACCAAAATCCATCTACCCATTCACCCCCGAGCCCCGTTATGTAATTTATTTCGAAATCCAACCTCAATTCGAGGTCTAAATTCCAATTTTACATAAATCCCGAATTCTACGCAAACCCCCAATTTTCACCATGAAAATCCTAGATTTTAGGTTGAAAACTTATGAAATGAAATGGGTAATTGAAAGAAAGTAGGTTAGAATCACTTATCAACAAATTGGGGAAGAAAATCTCTTGGAAAAATCGCCTCTAGGTTTTCTAGCTTTTGAAATTTTGAAAGAATGGCAAATCCCGTTTTTCTGGTGTGTTTTAATCACTGGCGTCAGGTCTTCTTCGCGTTCGCGAAGAGCCTGCCGTGATCGCGGAGCAGCGGCTCAAACAGCCTACGCGTTCGCGAGATACCCTTCGCGTTCGCGAAGCCTTATACCTACCAGCCTACGCATTCGCGAGCCATGTGCTGCGTTCGTGAAGAGTATAGATCAATTCCCCTCCCCAAGGTCCCATGCCTACGCGTTCGCGAGAGGCTGTCCGCGTTTGCGAAGGAAATGCCCCCACTGCTCTGCGTTCACGGCCTAGCCTTCACGTTCGCGAAGAAGAATTTTCACCCGGTCCCAGTTCACTCTTCGCGTTTGCAAGAGTACCTTCGCGAACGCGAAGAAAGAAACCAGAAGACATTTGAAGCTGCAAAAAACCAGATTTTCTAAGTTCAATTCACTCCGTAGCCTATCCAAAACTCACCCGAGCTCTCGGGGCTCCAAACCAAATATTCTCACAAGTTCAAAAACATCATACGAACTTGCTCGCGTGACAAATCACTAAAATAACACCTAGAACTACGAATTGAACACCAAATCAAATGAAATTTTCAAGAGAACTTTAAAACTTCTATTTTCACAATCGAACATCCGAATCACGCCAAACTAACTCCGTTTCTCACTAAATTTGACAGACAAGTCATAAATATTATAATGGACCTGTACCGGGATCCGAAACCAATATACGAATCCGGTATCAACAAGACCAAACATCAGTCAATTCTTAAAATCAATAAACTTTTAATTTTCAACATAAATTAATAACTCGAGCTAGGGACCTCCAAATTCGATTCCGGACATACGCCCAGGTCCCAAATTACGATATGGACCCACTAGGACCGTCAAAACATGGATCCAGGTCCGTTTGCTCAAAACAATGACCAAGGTCAACTCAAATAAATTTTTAAGCGAAAATTCTTATTTTATCAGTCTTTAACATATAAGCCTTCCGGAAAAACAACCGGACTGCGCATGCAAATCGAAGAAGGCTAAAATGAGGTGTTGAAGGCTTCGAAACACATAATTAAGTTCTAAAACATAAAATGACCTATCGGGTCATCACGATATCTGAAATGGTGTAAAAATACACCTTGGCTAATCGCACCATTTTTTTCTATTGTTATCCTAACAATATTTTTAAAAAAAAAAAAAAACGAAGTAACATAAGATGAAGAATCACACTATATGTTTCCCAGTCAGAAACAGCAGCATTCTCCAACCAAATAAACTATCAGATATAATAAAAACATTACTGGGCGCTCTTCTCCAATCAGAAATTCGAAGCTTGATTACCTCAAGACAAAGGCAAAATAATCAGTATAATACTAGGAACATCATGTAACGTAAAGAGGACAAAGAGACACCTCACCCGTTTTAGGATTCCTCTCTACTTGACAAAACTCCTCATTTTCAGTGGCGGAGGTAGCTTATACGGTATCCATTTCCAAATTAATATTTTTACAAGAAACATGAATATACATGTGAAAAGTAATTGAAATTTCAATAGATAGTATATTTTGTCTCATAGTTTCATACTTCCCATAATTTCAATTCTAAACATTCTATAGTTCCTGGGTGGACATTTGGTTTTGTATTCATTAATTAAAAGTTAGTTTTCCCTTTTTTCTTTTTATTACGTAAAAGTCATTCAATTTTGTGATAATTACCAAAAGTCACTTTCCTTTGTTTTGTTATATAAAAATTATTTTACTTTGACCTAGTTATCATAATAGTCACATTGGCCAAATTTTATAATATTTTTACTTAAAAAGCCTATTATACCCTTGACATTATAAATCCTCCTTTTATGTAATACCTTCAATATTATATACTATATTATATATTTTAACTAGGTATTTACTTATACTTAAAATAACTTTATAGTATTTTATTTATTATTGTCATAATATATTCGTGCATTTTATTTTTCTATGGCATTCAATTTGTTTAATTATATTCAAACATGAACATATTTTATAATGTAAAATGACAAAAATATTTCTTATTTATTATTTATTTGAAATAGTAAAAATATATTTGTTTAATAAATGACTTTTTATAGTCAGTAAAACTTAGAAATTTAATGATATTTTTGTTTAATATTAATTTTAAAGTTTTATATGTTAAAGTTTTAAAAAGGCTTTTCAGGGAGGATTTGGATGAGATGTTGCGCGGTATCCCGCATATAGAGAAGCTTTTTATAGGAGGAGATTTCAACGGCCACATTGGAGCGACGTTTGGGGCATATGATGATGTGCATGGTGGATTTGGTTTTGGAGATAGAAATGGAGGAGGAACGTCTTTGCTGGACTTTGCTAGAGCATTTGATTTGGTGATAGCAAACTGGATTTCCCGAAGAAGAGGGAGCACTTGGTCACCTTCGGAGTTCGATGGCCGAGACTCAGATTGATTATTACTCTGCATGAAGTCCGATAAGGGTCTTTGCACGAATTGCAAGTTCATCCCGAGTAAGAACCTCTCGATCCTTCATAGGCTCATGGTCATGGACCTTGAGATCACGAGGAACGGGAGGAAGAGTGTGATGTATAGCCACATAGGATCAAGTGGGGAGCCTTGACAGAAGCTAAAGCGTAGGAGTTGGGGGTCAAGCTGGTGACTATGGGGGCTTGGAGGAGTAGTAGGGACGCAAGCGCTATGTAGACCACGACTACGCAGTGCATTAGGAAAGCCGCGAGAGAGGTATTAGGGGTCTCAAAGGGTTACGCTGGTAGTCACAAGGGAGACTGGTGGTGGAATGGAGAGGTGCAAGGAAAAGTGGAAACCAAGAAAAGAGCGTATTTGAATCTAGTGGAAAGTGTAGACGAGGAGGAGAACAGGACGAATATGGAGCATTATAAGTTGGCTAAGAAAGAGGCAAAGCTAGTAGTTACGGCGGCCAAGACTGCAGCTTTTGGCCGTTTGTATGAGGAACTCGAGGGTCGAGGTGGGGATAAGAGGTTGTTCAGGTTAGCCAAGGCGCGGGATTTGGACCAAGTGAAGTGCATCAAGGACGAAAAAGGTAGAGTTTTGTCGAATAAGGGGATTATCCGTCAGAGATGGCAGACCTACTTCCATAGTCTCTTGAACGAGGAGGGGGACATGAGCATTGTACTGGGTGATTTAGAACTCTTCGGAAGTCGTTGTGACTTTCGGTATTGTAGGAGTATTAGAGTTGATGAAGTTGAGGGGGCTATGCATAAGATGAGTAGGGGGAATGTGACCGGGCCGAACGAAATCCCAGTGGAATTTTGAAAGAGTGTGGGCAAGGCAGGCTTAGAGTGGCTCACTAGGTTATTTAATGTCATTTTTGGAACGAAGAAGATGCCCGAAGAGTGGAGGTGCAACACGATGGTTCCTGTATACAAGAAAAAGGGTGATATCCAAAATTATAATAACTATAGGGGTATCAAGCTGTTTAGCCATACTATGAAAGTCTGGGAGAGTGTGGTAGAGCTAAGGGTGGGGAGGAGTTTGTCTATTTTCGAGAACCAGTTTGGGTTTATGCCGGGGCGTTCGACTATAGAAGACATCCACCTTGTTAGGAGATTGATGGAGCAGTGTAGGGAGAGAAAGAAGGACTTGCATATGGTGTTCATCCACTTAGAAAAGGCGTACGATAAAGTTCTGAGGGAGATTTTGTGGAGATTTTTGGAGGCTAGAGGTGTACCTGTTGCCTACGTTAGAATGATTAAGGACATGTATGATGGAGTAGAGACCCGAGTGAGGACAGTGGGTGGGGAGTCGAATCCCCACAGAGAACTAAGGTTTCAATATAACATGTATAAGCGGTCGCTGCAAATATATTCTGGTCTAAAAGTCCGGAGTCGAATCCCACAGAGAACTAAGGTTTCAATATAACTGTTCAGTATCACCTAGAGGACAAGCTCGAATAACTTTTAAGTTACTTAAACTAATTAACTAATAATTATCAAAAAGCAGTAGAAATTTATCAACTAAAGAAACTAAGGGTTGAAGACTAAATTAAGGAGGTCTAGAGTTATGATTTCCCCAATTATTGGAGTCTTTCCTGCTATGTCTTCTATAATTTCGCCTAATTATTATCTACTGATCATGGACACTCGACTTATCGTAATTCTCTCTCGAGAAACTACAATAATCTACTAGTCATATTCTCTCGAACTACGCTATCTCGCACTTTTTCACCGCTCACAATGATCACATCAAAGCTTCGTTATCTCTAATCCCGCTTTTAAACCTGCCGTATTGATCTCTCATATACCTTAGGAGTGACGTTGTTCAACAACAACCTAAATATATATCCTTTCTCAAGCAACACATACTAAATAGGCACAGTAAATCGATGGCCATTCAACCAACTGAAATAAGCACGTAGTTGAACAAGTAGATAAATCCAAAGGTTAAATTATATTAAAACATAACAAGAATTCATCCTACAAAAGGTTCTATCAAAACACTAGGTAACAAATTAGTTATTCATAATAGTATGCATAACTACAATACTAGAATTCATAACCAATAATGGAAAGAGGAAGAAGGAAGTGAAAAACTCGTGGAAGAATTCTCCGCCTTGCTCTCAGTGTGTTCTTGCCTCCTTAGGTCGAATACCCGGTCTCCTTAGCCTCCTTAGGTCAAATCCCTGGTCTCCTTAGCCTCCTTAGGTCTAAATTATATCAAAAAATTCCTCAAAATACCGTTTTTCCATGTATTTATACCAAGTAGGGTCGGGCCCAAACAATTCCACCTTCTCCTACGCGAAAATGGACACATTTCCCAGACAGGACGTGCGCGGCCGCTTACCTGGAAGGTTGCCCATGCACTTGGCCGCGCACATTTCACACTTTCTGCCCCATTTGCGCGGTCAGTGCGCGACCGCGCACTTACTGTGAAGTTTTCTCCCTGTTCTGTTGAGAATTTGAAAAACTGTAAATGATGAAAGTTGTAGCCCATTGAATTTGGTTTCCAACCATATATTGTGGAGCCCAAATGGAGTTTTGAGCGAAAGGTTATGTGCATTGTACAAGATAGTGTGCAATATGCCTACTCGATTCTTCGTTCGTTCTTAACTATCATCCGTTGATCTCTGAACACGATCCTGGCTTAATTCCTTGGGCTTTTACTCAGACTTCAAAGCTCCAAATCACTTGAATTTATTCCATAACATCTACATAGCTTGGAACCACTCCTACAAGGCATAAAACACACAATTAGTGCAAAACACTAGCGAGTAAAGCTCAAACTCAATTAAAGTACAGTAAATTAGAGTGTAATAAGCGACTAAAATACGTAATTATATCCTATCATCAACACCCCACACATAAACCATTGCTCGTCCTCGAGCAATCAAACTACAGTTTATATAGACACAACCTTCTTAAATAATTCTCCTAACTCATTACACCAAGAATACTTAAAATAGATTAAGCACAAAAGCGTAACATCTTCACCTCAAGATTTGACTTACAAGTACCACACATTATTCAAAACTCACCCACTTACTCTAACATAGAGGTCAAGGATTACCTTTCCTTCATGAATCACGTGCCCCCACACAACAAAAGAGAGTAGTTCCACACAATAAAACTTAAGAACACTTAGGAACCCAATATAGAAAGAATTCACTCACTCTCAGAAATAACATTCATATGCCACAAAAGATGCACCATAGGCTTGCCCGTAGTGTACTACTCTACTAATCGAGCTCATTCAGTCTCGGATCAAGTAGGAATTTATTTGGTCGTAATGTAGGCTGCGGGACGGGTAGGATACGTTTAGATATAAGAGTGACTACACCTCCCTAAGCACTTTAATACATACATTTTAACATTTAAAACCCCACACTCATGTCAAACCATAACTCCACCTTCACATCACTATATATTAACTCCATTCTTCTTTAAGCACACTTATTTCAAGAGCCACCACTTATCCAGGAATATTTTTCACAACAATCCAACTATTTTTTTTTCTTTTTGTTTTTCAACTCAAGTGGCTCTTACTTTTTGAAAACAGTGCACCTTTCTCCTTATTTCATTAATTCCACTCAAAAGCCAAACCAACCACCCCATACTTTAACGTTTACAAAGTTCATTACTATTCAAGTGCTCATGAAAGGTTAGAAGGTTCAAATAGATGGTTAATTCAAAAAAAATGGGTAAGACTTGTAATGTGGTTGCCAAAGAAACAGGATTACAGGCTCAAAGGGGTTAACTACGATACATAACAATTAGGCGGGTAAAATATACATATATGGCTCAACAAAGAAACGCCTATATCACTTCCAAGACTGAACAAAACTATTATTTCTCTTTGCAAACACACGGGGCAAGTTCTAGGCGTCAAATGCAATGCACAGAATAACACCCAAACTCACACACACATGTCACATAACTCACTCAGGATTGGATTCATCAAGACACTCTAGTCAAAGCAGTTAAGCAAAGTTAAGATCATACAATTTAAGGTACTTATACAAGAGTTAAAAACTGAGCCTAAGCGTCACAACCAATGTACTCACTATTCTCAAGGCATAACAAAGTCAAGAGATATTGCTTCAATTCAAAACACATCACAATGGCTCCTATTCCTAATAAAAGTAAAAAAAGAAACTAACTACACCGGTTCAAACAAAACCCTTGGAAAAGAATCGTGGAACAAAGAAAAACCAAGGTGTATACACTACCTAACAAAAGAAAATCTTTTTGTCTTTTTCTTTAAATTTAAATCCCTCAAGAAAATTGTCTAATAGATCCATCGTCGGGAAAAGTTCAATTTTTTTTTTTACAAAAAAATATTATTCAATTAAACTAAAACAACTAAAGTAGCATAGAAAGTCACCCAGACAATCTCCTCACCCGAAACTTAAAATTGTGTGTTGTCCCCAATGCACATCATAACTATAAAAGGGTAAAAGAAACTCCCTAGTAGGCCAAAGGCCGAAGCACTAGCAGCTCATGGGGTACTCAGACTTCTCCCAGGCTTGGTCCTTCGTGCGGGTACCTCACACTTAGTTTCAACCATCTGGTTTGCTGTTGCATCCTTCCAATAGTTTTTCTTTTCGTGCTCTTGGAAAATAAAAAATCGACACTACAAACATAATACACTCAAAACAATAAAAAATAAAAGAAAGCAATAAAGCCGGGTTGCCTCCCGGCAAGCGCTTGATTTAACGTCGCGAATCACTTTTTGCCTCCACCTCGAGCTTATGAATTGAACCCCAATTTTGGCATCAAGTTTTCGGCTATGCTCCAGGGGTGGAGGAACAAATCTAATTGGCCCAAGAAACCATTGTACTATTCCACACTTCTTGGCTTTTAGATGAGGTATGTAGTCCTGTCTTTCTGGCAAGAAAAATTCCAGAATGTAGGCACCTTGTTCCTCTTTCCTTGACTTCTCAATCGGCTCGGATGACTCTATTTCCATATCTTCATCCAAGCACAATATAGAAAAATATTGGAGTGAGGCCTAATGCGCACAAACACATGAACATCAGGACTTTCAACTTCCTCAACATCAATGATACTAGAGTGAATATTTGGAGTGAGGCCTAATGCGCACAAACACATGAACATCAGGACTTTCAACTTCCTCAACATCAATGATACTAGAGTGAACAAAATTTATATCCTCAATGTCCTTGGCTGACTCTAGTTTCACTTCTTCAACATCAACATCCTCAAATTGTAATTGGCTAGGTTGTTGATGTTCTAGTCTGACGTCCTCAATTAGCACCTCAAATTCATGCTCTTCTTGGCTCCTATCCCCAAAATTGGCTTGCTGAGCATTAAAAGCTTTAACCACTTGACTCACTTTAGCCTCCAAGTTGTGAATAGTTGCCTCTTGCCTTTCTATCTGCAATTATTTTTTTTATTTTGTTCCAGAAGGCACTTTAATATATCCTTGATCTCCTTCAGGTCTGTATCCCCAGGTTCTTTGTTCCTATTAACTTCACAAGAAAAGGTAGAACCATCATAGTAAGGGGTTGGGGGAAGATAAGAAATATAAGTACAACCATAAAAGTGACCATTCTCACCACCACACACATCACACACATTCCACAAATAAGATTGAGTTGGTACACATAACTTGCTCTCGGGAATATTTTGATAATTTTGATACAGGTGGTTTCCTTCACAATATGTATGAGGATCAATAGTAGAATTATCTACACCTAAATTTCCATAATTTCAAGATGTCATGTTTCTCAAATCAACAGTTATAATAACAAAAAATAAAAATAAAAACAAAACAAAATAAAAGTTCAAACTTGAAAA